AGCTACTCTAGGCTACTCTTATCTGTATGACCAAAAAATTACGGGGGGGATTAAAATAATTCTGCAGAAGCAGGGATGTTTAGACCAGAAGGAAATCCTAGTCCCCCCTGGCAAATCACACTTTACTTAAAACCATGTTTTTAAAAACTCTAGGTTGTAGGGAACAGACCTCTCTGCCATGCGCGCGCATGGTTTGGAGCACAATATCTGTCTCGCATGCACGCTCGCTCTAGGTAGATTACAGGATATTTTAACTAATTTGCGGTATAACTAGTCGATCACGAGTGGCTCAACAGGTAGATCTATAGATAAACTATATCTTTTAGGAATTTGACCGACCGGGTTGACACTTCAGCGGGAGAAATCGGGGGTGTGGCGTGAGAGCGTGAGATTTGGGTCAATTGCGTGAGTAGCCTACTCTCACGCTCAATGCGTGAGAGTTGGCAGCCCTGAAAAAAAAAAAAAAAAATATATATATATATATATATATATATTCATTTTTTATATATATATATTTATATTAATATATATATATATATATATATATATATATATATATATATATTTATATTCATATATATATATATATATATATATATATATATATATATATAGGCTATATATAATTATTTTTTTTACAGAACTGCTTTTGAAATTACGATTGGTAGCCTATTATTATACAGATGCAAAGTCGTTCTGTTGGATACTATTTTGTTCCTTAGTGTAAAATGGAAATGCATGATAATTGTATTTTATAAATATAAGCAAAAAAAACTGTATGGTGTAACAGAGTTTTAGAGCTAGACAAATCTAAATAAATATAAAATTTACAGCAGACCTTGTTTGTGCAGGATTTGAACCCGTGTCATCTTGATGATGAACCCTACCGCTCGGCTATGAATTTTCTCACTGAGAAATACCCAAACGTCTTTTTCTCACATGAGCGATTTTTTCATTTAGCCTGTGAGTGTAGGCCTATACTTTAGCCTTTTACAGTTTTAAAAGATTATATCTTATCTGTATGACCAACAATTACGGAGTAGGCTATAAATGTTTGTTGTAGGCTTATTTGGAAATTACCATAACTTGTAGTATTTCATCCTTAGGCTACAGACATTAGCCCCACTTACGTTTTGCTAAATGTCCCTTTGCGCCACCTGGCGGTCGTTTCGCGAACGACTTTGAAATGCGACTGGTTTATTTTTACCGCGGTGGATGGCTAAAAATGGTATGTGGATGGCTAAAAGGTGTGACTAAAAATGTGCTTTTGGCTTTCATTTATATTTTGATTGTTTGTATATATATATACACACTACCGTTCAAAAGTTTGGGGTCGGTACGATTTTAAATACTTTTAAAAGAATTCTCTTCTGCTAACCATGGCTGCGCTTATTTGATTAAAAATACAACAAAAATCAGTTATAGTATTAAATATTATTCCAGTGTAAATCAGCTGTTTTCTGTGTGAATATATAGTAAAGTGTAATTTATTCCTGTGATCAAAGCTGAATTTTCAGCATCACCAGTGTCAGTCTTCAGTCTCCTTCACAAATCAGTATAATATGAGGATTTGATGCTCAAGAAACATTTATTGTTATTATCAATGTTGAAACAGTTGTTGGTCTGTCAGTTGTACAGTTTTTTTTTTTTTTTTTTTTTTTTTTAGGATTCTTTGATTAATAGGGTTAGGGTTAGAATCTTTTGTAACATTATAAATGTCTTTACTGTCACTTTCGATCAAATTATTTATTCCTTGATAAATAAAAGTATTGATTTCTTTCCTCCAAAAAATAAAAATAAAATTCTCACTGACCCCAAACTTTTGAACGGTAGTGTATATATATATATATATATATATATATATATGTGTGTGTGTGTGTGTGTGTGTGTGTGTGTATACATATTTATTTATATTTATATATATTTATATATATATATATATATATATATATATATATATATATATATATATATTGCCCTTGCATTCTTTCTTGTGTGACACCACTGAATGAAAGGCTCATTAGTATGCAGTCTGCTCAGGTGAGAACTGCCTAATTATTCATGAGGGGGTTGGGCCGTTCCGCCCATCCGCATATTGCCTTTGCAAACAAAAAAATGTTTTTCACAATTTAAAACAATCTATTGTTTTATGTGAATGATTAGGCAGAATGATTTTCAGATCAATTCGAAGCAAAAACTCTAGGCGACAACATCCACTAGTCAAAAGTCTTGTGGACAGATATTTCGTATGTTATTTGTGGCCTTATATTAGAAACTTTATTTTTTATTTTTTTCAATAACCACGCATAAACAATATTCTCTCAAAAATACAAACATGTATTAACATGTTGTTCACATATTATGGTAGCCCCGTGTGTGCTATATAGAGTGTAATTTCACCTGTGCCATTAATATGTTTATAAGCAACTGAAAAAAGCAGAAATGTCAGAGCATACCAAAACATCTCAAGGACCCTGAAAACACCTCAGACCCCAGAGGGTTAAATTTGAATGCCGATAACCGATATATTGGCCGATAAATCTAAATCCAAATTATGATATAGTTTTTGAGAGCCTGATTACAAAAACAAAAGTCTCACTAATGTCCCAAGCACACAATTATAAGGATGTTCTCATTACAATGTTATGAAGCCTATATGACAGACTTGCTCTACACATGTTGCACTTAACTGTACTTTCCTTTTCAAAGTGATTCCAATAATATTTCAAGCATTTCAATAACATCATGGCGATCAGTGCACATCTGAATTGTCTCAGCTAAAAGAAATAATCCATTATTTATCGGCTTTAATATAGACCAAATTTTTTTATCGGGCCGATAACGATAACATTAAAAATGAACATATAATGGCCGATACCGATATGGTGGCCGATATATCGTGCATCCGTTGTTTTAATAAAATCGTTTTTATTATGCTACTAATGTGACTGCAAATAATTTTAAGCTTTTTTATTGTTAAAAAAAAGGACTAACATTTTTTTAATCAGGAAAAAAAATGTCTAAGTGCACCTTTAATGCTGACAAAAAGTTATTTGAATATAAAAACGCATGCAGCGACTTTTCCCAACACTCCGTACAGTTTCTACCTCGACACTGCACTGCTTGCCACAGCCTGCCTAAACTCATATTCAGAAACGGCTAATTATCTATAATGAAGAGGTAGTGTGAATAGCTGTGTATCATGAGACGTACACTTATGAGTGTGATGATAATTACATAATGTGCCTAAGCTGGCATCTTTGTCTTTTCTATCTCTCCCAGTGTAATCCTGTTTGCCTGATGCAAGCCTGTCCTGGCAGAGCAACTGCATGGGTCTAGGCCGGGGAATTATTACATTTGGGAGGAGTAATTACGGGAGGAAGATGTGAGCGATTCCCACACAGAGCGCTTAAAAGGAAGGAACAAGGGGGGGAAGAGATGGAGCGAGGCAGCTGTTTCCGTTTTGCTCTTGACCGAAGAGTGTGATGGGAACATGAGGTGTCTGACCATAGTCTTCGCAACAATGCCCACGGACACACACACACATACCACTAACCATTTCCATTGTTGTTTTATCTTTGGTTTAATCCTCTTGAGTGTATTTAACTACAAAAATTAGGATGCTCCACTGAATGAATGTGTCATACCAAAAGTATGCATAGGAAAAGAACAGTAAGTTTTAAGACAATAACAAAACTGCACCTTTCACAGTAAAGCAGAAAACAAGCCAGATAATGCGTATTTAATGCTTTAAAACAGTGGTATTAGTGATATGAATACAGAAATATATAGCATAAGGTCACTAACAGATGCATACTGTCATAATAAAATGGTAAGTAGATATAACACTGAGGAAGACAGGCACCTCAATTTCACTTTTTGCTTGGCTTGTTTGTTACTATGAGACTAGCGGTTGTTTGTTCCACTGGAATACCACTTCTGGACACATTACACAAAAGTTAATATCTTTTGGCAGTGCTGGGTACATTATTAATTAATTGATTCCAAATTACAGACAAAAATTGTGGTTAGTAATATAAAAATACAAAGAGAAAAAAATATATATTCCTTTCTTTGTTATCAACAACATGAAGTGCATTACATATCACATCACATCAGGGTTTCCAAATATTTTTATATAAAAAAATCAATATACATAAAAAAAAAAAATCTACTTTTTTGTTTTACTCTTAAAAAAAATTACCACCAACCTCAGAGAATATTTTAAGATACGTCAGTGCAAGTTGCTTTTAGTTGAAACAGCTCAAACATGCATTTTAGTCTGGGACAAGCTTAAGATGAAAATAATTACTTAATCAGATTCCAAAAATTAAGTACTGAATTATGTAATCCAGATTACATTACATTTACTACCCAGCACTGCTTATTGGTTGGTGATTTCTTTTCCACCAAACAAAGGGTTTTGATGTTCTGAGAACCTATTCTCATTTAAAATGAGACAATAAAATGAGATAAAACAAACATTAAAACAAAACAACTATAAACAAACAAACAATTTTTAATTTAGCCTCTCAACAACTTTTTTCTTTGAAGAACCAGGGCTCCCACAGTCTACAAAACCCTAGTAATTTTAAAAATTTGATATCTAGACATGGGAAAGTCATTTAAATGAATAAATCTTACTCCATGGGTAATTCTGTAATTTTTTTTGAATAAACGTTTCATAGTTATGCCAAGCTATTTAATATTTTATCAGGTAGAAACTGTAAAAATCTTTTCCATAATCTTTATCTAGTGAATCACAAACATCTTAAAAAAGTATAGGCCCTTTGATGATTGTTGTGGTAGTCAAAAAGGTTGGAAATCACTGATCACTGAACATTTACACAACTTTAGCAACTTATTCACACAGATTGATTATTGACTATAAATAAACTATTATTATTATTGTCATTATATCAGCATATTTTATTAAATTATAATTAAATATGATAAACATTACTTGGGCCACTTATATATATATTTTATAAAGATCTCACCTTTTGCCATGCCATGTGTGCGGCACGCTGCAGATGACAGAGGTGAACATGAGAGCAGTGATGAATGAGAACAGCACCAGGTAGATCAGACCCTCCAGCCCATCATAACACACTCCGGTCAATGCCTGCACATAATCCTGCACAGAAACAGACAGAGGCAGCATTAAACGCAAAAACTGCCTGTTATTAAACAGATGAAAATTCGGTCATTAACTCACTGCCATCATTGACTTTCTTTCATCGGTGGAAGCATAAAAGTAACATAAAGGTTTTGAATAACATGATGCTGAGAAAATATTGTTCACACAATGGCAGTGAATCATTCATAATGTATTGATCCTCCCTAATTATTTTTTTTCTTCATCTATTACATTTTCCTTTCTAAAAAGCCTTACTATCACTTACAGTATATATGTTCAGAAAGTCGTATAGTTTTGTTGAATTGCACACGCAGACCAGCCACTGGTCATGTGCCTATAATTACATGACAAATTGAGAGGCCACACAAACACAGCATTTGACCACTGAATTTACATAAACCATTTCACTTTTAAGAAGCGCTTTCTCAGCATTAGCATATTACATATCTAATCAACTCCTGTCGAACACATTCATTATTATTTGAAATCACTCAGCAAGTCATTTAATTACGTATTACTCTGGCTTTGGATTTATTTTAAATATATGATTTAATAATCAGCTTTTCATTAAACTGCACGAACCCCCTACAGTTCCTTCATGAACCCCAGTCTGGGGAACTCTGATATACTGTGATGTTTTATTCACTTCATGTAGTTGATAAAGAATGGAATATATACAGTTGTCAACATTTGAAGTGGATCAAAACCTTTCATCAAAGTTATACATGAATTTTGAACAATACCCGTTCTTTTCTTAGGACAACTTTGATGAATTGTTTTGATCCACTTCAAATTTTGACTAGTGTATGTATGTGTGTGTGTGTGTGTGTGTGTGTGTATGTGTGTGTGTGTGTGTGTATATATATATATATATATATATATACACACACAATTTGTAAGTTGTAATCTACCCAGCACTGCTTGCATGAACCAAAACGGATACAGAAACCAGCCTATCTCTGCTGGGTATGTGAATAATAAAAACAGAAGATATGATAACATCCAGTGCTAGACTCTCTAACTGAGAACTTCCTGCAATAGATGGCACCACATGCTGCAGAGGGAAACAGGGATTATTAATAATAAATGCTGACCGAACTGCAACCAGCCCTACACATGCTGCTATCAGAAACATGGCAGAGTCTCCTTCCTCCAAATTACCGTCATTATTAACAGCAAAATTGCTCCATTTGTAATTACTGCCGGCACTGTTCTGCATCTCCAGCACAAACTCTCCCACATACAGCCCAGATGTACGGCTTGGACGACTGTGAAGGGTGTTATTGCTTTTGCAGTATGAAAACACCATTAATAATGTATAATACATTTGCAAAAGTCCAGATTTTATCCGTTACTTTCTGTCCTCATGGGAAGGAGATGCATTTTCAGGACCACCCACACAGTAGGAGGAACTCCAGTCATGCTGAATCCTGAAATACCAGATATTTCCATCTTGGAAAAGAGGACAGGCTCCAGATTGCAGCAGTAAGTGCTGGTGAGGTTTAAAGCAGATAGAAGATAGAAACACATGTGTGTGTACGAGTGTTTGTTTGTTTGTGAGTGGATTGCAAGCATTTGGTTTTTCATGTCAACAGAAGCCCACAGGTTGAGGTTACAGTGAAAATCTTGGCAAGCAGTGCTTTACTTTGAGTCAGAGTGGAACCGGATGTGCAAAGTGGTCATATACTCTAAAAACAAAACACTTTCTCACCATATGCAAACTGCGGCAGTCCACAAGGGCAGTGAGCTGGTGCAGTCCAACCTCAGTGGTGTTCAAACCCCCCTGAATTTGCTCAAGGTTTCCCTAAAAACAGGCACAAAAACATGGTTACTCTAAATGTAAAATATATGTATACACTACTGTTCAAAAGCTTGCATATTTATTTGATCAAAATATGGTAAAAGAGCAATATTTTGAAATATCAAAACAACTCTTTTCTATGAGAATAAATTGTAAAATGTAATTTATTCCTGTGATGGCAAAGCTGAATTTTCAGCATCATTACTCCAGTCTTCAGTGTCACATGATCCTTCAGAAATCATTATAATATATGCTGGTCAAGAAACATTTCTTATTATCATCAATGTTGAAAACAGTTGTGCTGATTAAGATTTTCGTGGAAATTGTGAACTTTGACGACTACAAAGTGAAAAAAAAAACAGCATTTATTTGAAATAGAAATGTCTCTTGATTAATTTAATGTATCCTTGCTGAATAAAAGCATAAAGTATACATTACTTTACAGTTCAAAGGTTTGGGGTCAGTAAATGTTTTTAGTGTATATATTAAGAAGCATAGTCAATTTCAAATATTTCACAATTTTAACGCTCTATTCAGTTTTTATGAGTTAAGCACATGATAACAGCAAACACATGACAAACAAAAACATTCACATAGAAGGATGTCAAAGAAGAGCGGCTTGTTTTCTTTCTTTTCAAGGCTCAGTATTGTGTGAGGTCTAAGTTGTATAAAGCTGCAGTGGTAAACAGATTTTAGCTGGTTCTAAGGGTGAAATATTTCCATTGATTCAGCATTTTCTCTCAACGCTTGTGTTCCAGCGAGAGGACGGCTTTCTTTCTCACATGTACTGAATGAATGTCAGCCATCACTTTGTGCCAGAACACACACAGATGCTGCACAATGACAGAGGCCCAGTGGGAGGGGAGAAAACAAACACACATACACACGACATTTGTGTATCAGGAATTGTGGGAAATGGGCCGTACATACTGCATGCATGCTCTGAATCACACACACACACACACACACACACACGAGTGCTCACCTTTGTGTTGGGGTATTCTCGGACTGCAGAGCGCAGTAGTTCTGACACATCGTCCTGCATTTCCACCAGTGCTTTGTGACTTCCTGACATCTTCTACAAGACGACAAAAGAAATCAGTTATATGATCTGTGCAAATGTTATCTAATAGAGAAGCTTTTACTCTTCATAAAAACTTGATTCAAAAATCTATATTTTAATTTTCAACATTTACATTCTGCATTTAAGTTTACTCAATTTTTTTGGACAACAAGAGCACAGAGAGGAAAAGAAATTATAGGAATCAGTATTTATTTTATATATACTACGAGTATTATTATCTAAAATATTTTTTGTTAAACTTAAACATACAACAAATAAGAATAAAAATAAATTTAAACTAAAGACATTGGTTGAAAAATAACTAAAACAAACAAAAATAGTAATTTTCATAATTGCTTATTTACACGCACATCTCATAACTATATTTACAAGACTTCCCGTATAGCTTGGCATAGACAATTTTGTTCAAAATTTTGAGGTTTGTAAGATTTAAAAAAATTTTTTTTATAACTTTTCTATTGGAATAATATTTTAAATGTAATTTATTCCTGTGCTGTCAAAGCTGAATTTTCAGCATCATTACTCCAGTCTTCAGTGTCACATGATCCTTCAGAAATCATTCTAATGTGATGATTTGATACTCAAGAAACATTTCTCTAATTATAAATTATTCTAAAGTTGAAAACGGTTGTGCTGCTTACTATTTTTGTGGAAACTGTGATAAATTGTTTTTCAGGATTCGTTGAGAAATAGAAAGTTCAAAAGAAAAGCATTTATTTTAAATAGAAATAATAATTTTTTTTACTGTCATTTTTTAAAATGTAATCCATCTTTGCTGCATACAAATGTGATTTTTTTAATATTACTGATTCAAAACACTTTTTGTTCTTTTTATTTTATTTAAAAGCGCTACACAAGTTGAACCACTACACAACGTCCTTAAGCATAATTAATGAAACGATCACATTATTAATCAGTCGTTGTTATTGTTTGATCGTAGTTATTTTATGGAAAACACAAAAAATAAGACAGGTAATATTAACTGGGTTGTACAACTGCCACTTCCTGCCCAGTGTAGAAGTATTTCCTCCGAGTTCATTCACCACTGCACACTCCACTCTTAGTCCTGCAGCAGGAGTCAGAGCTGCTTGCATAATGCAACAGTGCATTTACACCCAGCAGCAAAAGCCAGTACAGGCTCTTGCACCCGGCCATTGAGGACATTTTATACATGAAATATTTCAAGAGCAGAGTTCTTGAACACATGAATATTTGAGATGCCAAATGGCCACTGTGTCAGCTTTGTCTGTCAACAGTTCTACAATTTTTTTTTTTGCTGACATCCACTGAGAAAGAAGCAGTGAAAGTACCTTCTTTTACAGAGCGCACAGGAGACTTTTGGTTACAGTGTTACGTGCGGGCAACATTACTAGAAACTAACTTCTGAAGACGAAAGCCAGCAGCTAGGACAAGCTTAAGGTAGGCTTGCTGCGGCTGTCGGTGTTATGCGGTGTTCGGCCGTACACCAATTACATTTGCTCACCATGGCACCGCCCCCACTGTCGTTTTGCTTTTTTATAGAAATAAAAACCATTTACTTCAGTTAGACAAACGACGCTCCAATTATAAACAGAGTTTCTGCTATGCTCTACAGCACGAGCTCCAGAGTCGCAGCGGTAGTCAGATTTCATTTTTCACGTGACAAAAGTGAGACGAGATGACTGACAAAACAGCGGCAGAGGATTTGGTCATTGACAAATATCTTATCTTGTAAAATGTGCGGTTAGTACCGCTGCTTCCAATAAAAAGAGAATGCATTATAGCAAATTCGAGAGTGCATTCAAATGCGGTTTCAATACCATATTGATAGCAGCTCCTTTGTGTATAGGCCTATAATTTGCGGGCATAGAGTACACGTGATTGCAAATTCGAAAGTTTAAAAGCGTGATGCTAGCAGGAAGTTGGGCAGGAATTATGAAAAGCAATATAACAAACGCTGTTCCAACATTGTTCCAAAATTATACTGCCTTAGAAGATACACTTTGTGTTGCTCAAATTAAGGCAGCATTGCATACATAGTTCAAAAGTGTGGGTTTATTTAATAGAAATTACAATCTATTCAGAAATGACACAATAAATTGATCAATAGTGAAATTGTTTGTAACATTATACTTTGCTATTTAAAAGAAAAGAAAAAATATTTTGAACTTTCTATTAATGGTTTCTATTAATGTTATAATGAGAAAATTATCATGGTTTCAATAAAAAAAAAAATCTGAAAATTCAGCTTTGCCATCACAGGAATAAATTACATTTTAAAATATATTAAAATAGAAAATATCATTATTTCAATTGCAATATTCTAGAATATTGCCGTTTTTACTGTGGTGAGTATAAGAGACTTATTTTAAAAACATTAAGCGAATCATACAGACTCTAAACTTTTAAATAGTAGTGCACATCCATTAAGGATAAGGAAATTACAGAAAAACACTGGAAAAATTATATGATCAATAAGTTATGACAACATATGTTTTTACATTGCTTTAACTCATCAAAAGAAGTTAAGCAACAACTTTTTTTTTACAGTGTAGTTATTTTAAAACAAGAACATGTGTGGTGTGAACAGCCCCTTAGAAGGTACCTGACAGTAGATAGTAAAGTAGCTCTGTTGTTTGAACTATAAAGCATTCAATTGGTTGCAGATTCTTCAACATGTCTCTTTAAATGTTCCTGGATGACTTTTTAAGCCTAAAATCAATATCCATTTCACTTATTTGCAGTCTCAGATGTGAATCAGGCAGAGTTCATCTGTATGCTGCATGAGAACTGGAGGAACTCCATTTAGAGGCATCAGCTGACAAAGTACAACGCTCAATCTCCATATGGACATTAGCCTTCATTCAAATTAAGTGATATCAAGACAATGGAGCTGTCACTGACATAATCCATCAATCATGATCAGTTAAGAGCTGTGATTTGTTTGAATTATACACATGCATTAGTCAAATAAAGACTTGGAGAAGGACTTCATTAACTAAAGGGAGAGGCAGGAAGCCAAAGGAACACACATTTCCATCGAGCTCTCGCTACGAGGAGAATGCTAATGTACAGGGACAAACGAAGCAGGGGGCGTGTGAGTGAGAGGAGGGAGAAGATTGGCTGTCTTCCAAAGACCAGTGAGATGCCTCGCTGTCTATTGTTTACACTGGCAACTACCATCTAAGGCAGCTTCCTTAACACAATGAAATCAAACTCTTTACAGAAACAATATTAATGGTCCCTCACCCCTCACGTTACGTCCACAGGACTAAGTTAATTCTCCCAGAGTATCAGTGATGGTATTGTTAACTAAAACTATTCAAAATCGGTTTCAGTAACTGAATTAAAGCTGAAATCAATTAAAAATATAAATATCAGATGAAAAACCTAAAAATTTACTAAATTTGACCAATTACTAAAAGTTAAATAAAAATAAGTTACAGATAAATAGATAATTATAATACTTATTCAAAAATATTGATAAATAACAGAACATAATACTAAAATAAGACTTCATATTTGCTCAATATTTAAACAACAAAATTATAATTTTGAATTACTAAAAAAAAAAAAAAAAAAATTGTCACACCTTTTCCTTGAACCAGACCAGTAATGCTGTGTTAGAGTTAAGCCAAAAGAGGAATCTATATGGGTGTTTAACTTTACAGTTCTCAAAAGCCTTTGCATTGGGAATGTGCCTAAAATACCAAATTTGTCTAGTTAGGAAGCTCACTAGGGTTTGGAACAGAGCCAATATACATTCTTGAGGACATCTCTCAGAGGTTTGAAGGTCAGGGATTTAGTTCATAGAGAAAATCTGAATCAAAGAATTAAACGGATAGTTTAATATCTATGGTTACCTGTTGGTAGGGGTTGATCTGACCCACGTTACATGTGAGGTAATACTGCAGGATATCTGTGGAGAGAGAGTGAGAGAGAGAGAGAGAGAGAGAGAGAGAGAGAGAGAGAGAGAGAGAGAGACAGAGAGAGAGAGAGAGAGAGAGAGAGAGAGAGAGAGAGAGAGAGAGAGAGAGAGAGAGAGAGAGAGAGAGAGAGAGAGAGAGAGAGAGAGAGAGAGAGAGAGAGATGTTAGGTATGAAGAAATCAGCATTTAACATTTAGATTAAGTTCCACTCATGGCAGTGTTTTTCCATTTGCTTGCCTCTACAAACTTCTTATTAAAATTCGACATGAAACAGAAGTTTTTTTACTTTCCAATTGAAACGGCACTTCAAACAAGAAAAATGTAGGGCGGGACTTGATTTTGTCAATGGGGAATTGTTTGGAGGATTGTTGTTTGCTATTGGTCGATCTCATGTGAGTGACAGGTTGTCCCACCCTAGCGCCAGTAAACACGTCACCAGAAAAGAGAAGAAATGTTGCTGAAAGAGGGAGGTGAAGTTTTGACGAAAGATTTTTTTTTAAGTTAAAAAATATAATCCTTCAGAATTGTCAATTTGGACTTCATGGTAAAAACAAACAATTGTGACTTTATTCCACAAGCACTAAGTCATTACAAACCTGCAACAAGCTAAAAATATTCTCATTTCTTTCCGTTTCACATCCGCCCTAAGCAGATGAACTCACACTGCCACACTATCATTTGCTGACCTCAGAGAGGCCACAGCAGACATATCAGGTATTTGAATAGCTATATTTCCAACCACGAGCCAATTTAGATTCAGACCACGACTGCCTCACTCTACAGAAGAGAAATTATATGTTAGGCTTATCTTGGTTGAGGACAATTTTCCATTCAATGCAAAAGAATCAATAACTAATCCTAGACCCGATTTTTTTTGCACCGATATTAGAGGAAAATCTGTGGAACGGATTTAGACATACTAAAACATGTTAAAATTAAGCTGAGAACACTCTTATTGGAAGCTTAAAGCATTAAAAAATAGCCAAAATATTGAATAAATGTAGGCTTTCAGTCTTAGGGGTGCTCAAGAATAACTCGGGTGCAGTAGGTTGCAAGTTCAGATCTCACTCAACTGGACATTAATAATTGCATATGCTTGTCAGTAAATGTGTTTCAGTAATGGTTAGTGATATTATAAGTGTGAATGTAAACTGCTACCAAATATGACAGAGTGTAACGTGTTGGGATGGTAGAAAAGGAGCGAAGCTTCTGACAGCAGACAGCTTAATGCAGCTACTACTTTTAGCAAAGGTGAAGAAAAATCACAATCACACATTTGAAGGAGGACTGAAAGAAAGACGAGACCTGAAGACCTCCTAAAAGAAGCACTAGGGTTAGTACCTCAAACAGTTCAGCTTGACACTAGTAACACCAAGGTCGTAGGTTCGATTCCCATAATATGGAATTTGTATGCCAATTCGCTGCTCAAGAAACATTTCTAATTATCAATGTTGAAAACAGCTGTACTGTTTAATGTAATTTTTTTAATGTATATATATATATTTTACTGACCCAAAACCTTTGAGCAATGAATCTGACATGTGACTGTAATGATGAACAGTGCAGTGAAGATGTAGACTGCAGGGTTAAAAAACAAAACAAAACCTTTTCTATTTCTGCACAGGAAATACTAATTCACACAGTCCTCTCATAAACCTCCACACGCCAACGCAGATGGAGTCTTGGGCCATCTTCATACGCAGCTTGCAGAGGGTTGCGTGAATGAGAATCAAAAACAGACACATGCGTCAGAGCATGTGGGTTTGTTGAGGAGGAGTGATGCTTTCATCACTATCATTACACACGTGGACAAGCGCATGGCAGCGGTCACAGGGAAAAGTGCCAGCAGTGGTGTCTGTAAAACCTGCTTATGAACAAGCAAATTCTCCCATCGCATATAACCGGCCTCCCTGATTGCATATAAACGGTATAATTACAGCAATAATGAGGGGAATAAAGTGGCCTCTCCATTCTATCCATGGATGGCTGTATACAAAAGGCTGAAGTGAGCGCCACTGGTTTATAGTGTAGTTCATGGCTGGATTTATAGGTTGTAATAGTATTCAGGCTGTGTGTCAGGGCCCCATAGTCTCACATGTCATGCGTGAATGACCTCCAGTAATTGGACGCAATATTGGTTGACTGGTGATCCCTTTATGAAACAAAGGCAATGGAGTGACTTCCAAAACGGTTCTGAGAGGAGGCTGAGCTTTAAATCCCACTCACGCTGCGATGACTGCAGGCTGTAAAAGATCCTGATTCATGCAAGACAGGAAACATGGCAGATCTTCTTTATGAAGGGTTTCACTGCTTTTCTTCTGAGACGTTATCAGATGACTAAACCGTGTACATCACGGAAGACAATTATAGCATTAAATTAAACACTTTCCCTTTAAAAAGTAGAGACATCTTTGGACCATTTTCATCTTCTGGGTTTGAAATCAACATTGAATGAACGTCACATGCGATGAGGATAAACATTGTGACACCCTTGGGAGCAACGATGTGAATTATTATTGGTTAGCCAATAAAAACAGGTGATTTACATATTGAAGTAGCAAAAGCATTCAGTCTAAGGGGCAATTTGAACGACAGAAAACAGAAAACTGTTACATTTGGGTGCCTGAAAACGCAAACTTTTTTGAAAATGATACAGTTATAGTCTTGTCATGTGCATGCGTTATGTGTTCAGTCATAATAATATACAAAAAGTTTGCTAGATTTTAATTATTGCATAAAAGTCTAAAACGTCTGTTAACGACTAGACTGTGTATTATACACCACAGCACAGAAGACATGCTGGAATACATAGAGGCTTTCCTCACAGAAGGCAGACCCATGATGGCACAGGGACATGCGTGCTGTTTGTAAGTACAGAGAAGTCTCGGTTCTATTCTGGGGTAACGCAGTAGAATGACTCATGAGTCTAGGACAGTGATGGCCAGAGGGGACACACTCAAAGCTTCACTGATCACTTTTCCTCTGTGGATTCCATATACAGCCATTAATGCTTCCGGCTGAATCACTGCTCCAAATCTTTTTCTGGACTAAAGGGACGTAACTTGTGCAAAGGTGTGAGCTAAAGTCTGATGTCTTAATTCTTTTGAAGCAGTGTTGTTGTTAATTAAAACTATCATAAATATAAAGATAACCATCATAACTATATTAGCATCCACACCAGTGGACTATATCGTTCTGTTTATTCTAAGCGCGTGCTTGTCTTTCCTCTTAAATGTGCGAGCTTGTTTACAGCAGGATGGATTCTGATTGGCTCATCAACTGGATCAAATAGTTATGAAAATGATTCAAATGATATCGTTCCTCAGTGAAGTCCACATCACAGCTATAATGACACAATTCTTTAACTATATCTTTATCGTTCTCTTTATAGTAATCATCCTTGATGTGAACGGGCCTTGAGAACATAGTGCACGTCACATGGAGCACTTATGAATTTTTGGTGCTTAACTGCACATGGACACTATGAACTGGGTTAGACAAAAAAGTCTGGGTAAAACAGAAACTTAATTCTTTTTAATTCCACCGACCCAAACAAATTACAAATTGAATATTGCATCAGGGTGAGTAAATAACAGCACAATGTTCAATTTTGGGTGATCTATCCCTTTAAGGAGTTATTTAGAGCAAATGAGAGAAAGACTGAAGATAGGAAGAACAAAGATAAAAATAGAGCCCAGAAGAGAGACAATTTCATGGGTGTGTGAAGCTGAGAGTCACACGGTTTATCATCCACATCCTTCAGCGGTTTTCTCTTCCTCTCCTCTTATCTCTCTCCTGTATTCTGTTCTTCAGAAGTTCTCTTTGCTGTAGCTCTTCTCTTCACAGCCGACTAACAAATTGATTAATCATAACAGAGGCCAAAGTTGACATATCGAACCTGCTAATGCTACACTAAAGCATACCGGGATCCACATGCATTCATTATTACACTTCTGCTTACTGCGAAGCACAAATGCTAGGAGTCTGCACCTCTGCATCTTAATGACAATAGCTCCAACATAACGGAACCCATTTAAAAGCATTTAAAGATGCCATATTATGCCACTTTCACAAAGTCTTGCTTTTGTCTTTGGGTCTACTAGAATAGGTGTTCATGCTTGAATATTTAAAATACATTGTTGCAGCACCTCTCTTCCCAGTCTGACAGTAACGCTCCGTTTAGTTCCTGAATCTATGAAGCCCCTCCTTCTGAAAAGCTCAGTGTACTCTGATTGGCTGTCTGGACCAGTGTGTTGTGATTGGTCAGTCGCTTCAAGCGTATTTCAGAAATGTCACGCCCCTTACAATAACTGAGTTTCAAAACACTACTAATGCAATTCAGCCAGGCCTTGCACTTTTTTTGTGGCAGGGAATTGTTTAAATGAGGAATATTGTGATGTGTACGTTCCTAGAAGAAAAGTCAATCGAATTACAATCGAGGCGTTTGAGGGAGTTCAGAAAAAGTTTGGAGTGACTGTAATGGCGCTTTTCCAATGCTGGTACGGCTCGGTATGGCTCAGTACGGTTCGGCTCGGCACGGCACGGTTCGGCTCGCTTCGCTTTTCCACTGCGTGGTACGACTCGGCTCAGCACGGCTCGGTTCGCTTTAGCTCGATTTGGTTTTCCACTGCAGTTAGTACCGCTTCAAAGTGGGTGGGATTATAGCAGTGCCCTCGGATTTCTGATTGCTTAAAAAAAACAAAAACTTGGGAGGCTAAATATTTTTTAGTGATTATGTGAATTACACTGCGCAAACCAAATACCCACCGGATGAAGAAGGGTTGGCTCTCAGTCTCCACAGTACATAAAATATTCATTTTATTTTATTTTTCGCGTTCGCATTTATGAGGAAAAAACAATGTTACGGACGTGTTCTCCGTTACGGGCGTGAGCGCTCTGAAAGCGGCACTAAAAGATGCTTTAAAACTTTCACTTACACATCCAACAGAAAAGCACAAAACCTTTCTTTAACCTGAATTTCGTTTTGTATTAATTGTATCTTAATTTTAATCAATGTTTTATCAACCAATTGCCTGGATTTAATAAATAAAGGAAGTAGTAAATATAGCAGACGATAGATAGGAAACGGAGGCGCCGCCGTGTGAACTGGAGCTCGTCTCATAAATGAACCGAAACTCAGTATATAAGGTAGCTTACTTGCCTCACATGTCTACTTTTAAACAGAACAATTCAAAACGAAAGAAAACAGACTACAGACTGCTCTCTGCTTATGCAATCCTTATGAAATGTGCATTTCTCTCTGGCGCGTTCACTAGGCTACTGAAGATCGCGAGTCAGCATCGTCAACTTCATTTTAGCCGACAAAGAAAACACTTGTTTATTAATAAGCAATTAAAATATCTCCTAGCTATATTTTACATATTCATAATCATTACTTTTGCCGGTTCTTTGTGAAGAACAGCGGTGGCTGTTACTGGCTATTTAAATCTAGCGGGTTTGATGTCTCGCAAATACAATGACGCTGGTAGTGACTATTCTGTCTGACCAATCAGTGATCTGCAGTGTGTTCACGTCATATTTTAGTATCGGTACGGTACGCTTGGAACCTCGACAGAGGTGGTACCATTTAAAGCGAGCCAAAGCGAGCCGTACCATGCCGTACCATGCAGTGGAAAAGCGCCACAAGTGAGCCGTACCGAGCCGAGCCGAGCCGTACCGTACCATGCAGTGGAAAAGCGCCAAAGCGTGCCATACCGAACCGTGCCGTACTATGCAGTGGAAAAGCGCCATAACTTTGCAGACCTTTTTCATACTCAAACAGTAACATTACACACTAAAGAAAGTTGAAAATGTAAAGCAGCATAATAGGTCCTCTTTAATAGGATTCACACATGTTCAAGCCAGTGAAAACGCTTCCTTTCCAGGGAATAAGTCACAGGAAGACCATTTTCCAATGGGCCGTACCCTGAGTCCACCTCGATTAGGCTTGACCAGAATGTATGATCTCGCTCCGGCCACCCAAAGAGGAAGGGCTTGGACACGCAAAACAAAGACAGGCTAGTGGATAAAACACACACACAGTTGTCTCTTCCCACTGATTTACTGAGAGCAACCAGCCTCCTGTGGATAATAAGGTCACTTTGAAGAGGAACTGCTGTGTTGAGTAATGCTGATAAAGTGAGGAAGAGAAAGTCAGATGGAACGCTTCCTCTCTGAGCCAACAGGAAATGAAAGCCTATGTGACTGTTCACTCCTCAGAGAACACGCTCCTCCGTCAGGAGGTGTAGGACGGTCTATATCCAGACAGACTCGCGAGTGATTCACAATAACACCTGCTAGATTAAGCGCCTTACTCACAAATCAGCAGGAGGTGGAAGAAAGAAAACGTTAAAGAGAACTGGAGTGGAATAAAACGTACCTTTTTTGATAAGGGAGTACTGCTCTGACACCTTGGTAATGTACATGTCAGGTGCCGCACAGAAGTCACTGAAGCCCTACAATGAGAGAGAAAAGCAATTAAATGAGTATATTCTACATTTTATAGCATGCTATTTTCGCCTAATTTTCGCCTTATTAATCGCCTTAGTTTATTCATTAAGTTAATCAAAACTGACAGATTTCTATTTCAAATAAACACTGTTCTTTTAAAGTTTCCTGACCTTTCTTTATCACAGTTCTCACAAAAATATTAAGCAGCACAATTGTTTTCAACATTGAAACACTGTAAAGAAAAAAAAAGAAAAAAGTTTCTGCCTTAAATTTGTAAGTACCTTAAACTTGGTGTGAATGAAAATGAAAAATGACATTAAACTGACAATCACAGTAAAACTTCAAAAAATGAGCTGAATCTTGTATAAGTTATGAAAACTTATTTTGATGAGTTTAAGCAATGTAAAAACATATGTTGTCATAACTTATTGATCACATCATTTTTCACAGCGTAATAGGAAATGTTTCTTGAGCAGTAAATTGTCATATTAGACTCATTTCTGAAGGATCATGTGACACTAATGGTTCTGACGTCCCAGCCATGGTAATCTCTATTAATGTCCGGTGTGGACTGTGGAGGAAGTTTTGCATTGTGAGTGTTAAGGTCCTTGCACACTGAGTCCGAAATTTGTGTGTGCGTTTTTTCGTATTCGTCATTAGGTGGCTCTGAACTGTCAAAACACTTCTCAAAACGCTTGCTACAGATGCAAAAAACACAGGAAATCGAACCCGATCTGAATTTTTTTTTATGACGGACGAAAGTTTCGGAGGCAGTGTGTAAACGTGATTGACAACGTACGGTCGTATTTATTTTTTAACGTGCAAAAATGTGGGACTCTGCACCTTTTATAATACATCTACCAAAAAAAAAAAAAAAGGCATGATATCTCCCCTTCAAAGCAGTAATAGGGTATTAACTGTGCTAAACAGGCTCCTAATCAGAGATAAACTACTACTGTCTGCTTTAGTTAATTCCACAGATATAATTCAAGCTTGTGCAGGAGAGATCATAAGAAGCATCAGTACAATACTGTCCTGCCTCTGTGTGAAGTAGTGTTGCCATGGAGACACTCACCGAGGAGACAGTCAGTTCCAGACCCAGTGAGCCCCAGCTGATCACTAGCGCCAACACACCCAGAAAACACACCCTGAGAGAACAAAGATAATGATTATCTCAGCCATCATTATAAACACTTAATACATGTTATGAACATTTAAACGGTTGGAAACCCCTCAAAGGGTTATTTCAGCTGGGGAAAACCCTTCATCCCACAACAATTTCTATTACTTTCAAATATGATAAGAATTTAATGGTGGTAAAATTACGGGATTACAGCAGTGGGATTAACCACACATTTATTGCCATCATCCATATAGCTTGTTATGAGTATCATCTTTGTGTAATACAACCAAAACATCTGCTCATCTTCACGTCTAAAGGCCATTTCTGAGCATATATAACATATTCCAGAATAGTAGACAAATGAATAATAAAAATAATTTATAGTATTAAATAATATTAATAAAGTGAAATAATAAATAGTATTATGTACTTTATTAATATTATTTAGTACTTAACTAAATACTTATCTAAAAACTCATATCTTTTATATCTGAAATATTTAATATCTTAAATAAGGATATTTTTCTTATGGATGTTTACATATTTTAAACAAAAATTCTGAACAAAAATGACAATTTGCAGTATAAAATTCTAAAGTTGTCTTCAAGAAAAAAACAGATATCGAATGGATTTTTGTGTGATTAATTAAACGTACATTAAGGAACATTATGGCTCCATCTGTTCCTTTAAATGAAGGCCAAATCAAACAGAAGGATGGTATCTTGGTATCATGAATTGCCTTAAGTCAGGAGTGAACTATAGCAACCCCAAGATGTCGTGATTTTAGCAAGTAGCAACTTTTATTACTGAGCAAATCAATATCCTGACATTTACCTTCTGACACGGCCTCAAGTCAAACAGGCTTTTTTGCTATATAATGTGAATGCAAAATGTTAAATGTCTGAACATATAATGGACAAGACGAGCCAGAGGAAATCGGTAAGCCAGCTACAGGATAGACACGCCAGGCTTTAATGTGAGCTCTAGCCTGGGGAAACAATGCACTGCTCCCTTCTTTAAGAAACGGCAGGTTATCAGTGGCCAATAAGACGGCTCTATCCGTGTTTTCTGGCAGGGCTAGTGGAATTGTTTTGCACAATCTACTAAATGACAAAACATGATTGGTCCCACACCGTGCACCTGAGGTACTCCGGTGTACCTACAAGAAACAAACATACAACAGAAAGTGACCATCCAGCCAGAGATGGACTCTCGGTCTAACGTAACACAGACAATAGCTCTGTTTCAAAACCTGGTTTCAGGCTAAATACCTAAACAGAAAGCTCCTGACACGAAGGCTGTTTCAAAAGGTAGATGAGCAACATGAGTTAACTATAAATATGTTTATTCTTTTAGTATAGCGTGCTACAGCCAGGTCCCAAATTTAAAAATCCCATTAATTACCTCCATAGAGAAATGAATGTTTAACGATAACTTATAAACCTTTAAAGACAGACCTACTGTGAGCTACACAGTTAATTGATGGTATGTGCTTTGGTTAAAGCCATCAACTTGCATCATTTCTACTTATGTTTTTAAATATTGTGTTCAAGAGAAGAAATCCTTGTGAGAAACTAAAGAAATCTGCACCTAAATCTGTCCCCGCCCACTTCCATGAAGCACTACGACAAACTATTCAGTCCCCCGGTTTCACAGACGAGGCTTAAGCTAGTCCCAGACCCATGCATGTTTGAGCTGTTTTAACTGAAAGCAACTTGCAGTGACTTATCTCAAAATACAGTAATCATCATGTGAAGTGGATCAAAATCTTTCATCAGTTACACATGAATTTTGACCAATACCCGTTCTCGTCTTAGGACAACTTTGATGACCTTTTTTGATCCACTTCAAATGTTGACTACTGTATGTCAGTGCCAATAGCTACATTTACATGGATACTTTTTGCTTCAATCATAATTAATTCATTCCGAATTCTATAAGCACTGAAGCTCTATTTTCCCTGGTGTACCACACATGACTCAAAGACACATCTATAACAACCTTCTTACCCAATCAGAGTTCCTTTGGAGTTGCGTATGAGACCGAAGAGCACCAGAAGGCAAATAAGCACATCAAACAGCAGCAGACCCAGGTACCCCAGCCACCTAATGAGGACAACACATTAACATAATACATTTCAACCGCAGCAAATTCTACAGCATTAATGTCACTAACACTAATAGATCAGATGTCTATTGTACATTTAAGTATATTACATACACTACCACAGCCTTTATTGCGCAAGGATGCATTACATTTATCATTTATAATGGTACAATAGATTTCTATTTCAAATAAATGTTGTTCTTCTGAATTCATTCATCAAACAATCCAAAAAAATGTATCACGGTTTCCACAAAAATATTGAAATATTTACTGTGCAGCCTTGGTGACAGACCCCAAACTTTTGAACAGTAGTATATACTATATACCTAAAAAATGTCAAAGTTTCATAACAAATCTATTTAAATGCACATGCCCTAATGAAGATCTTAGCTCGTGCAAATTTTCCATCACGATGATAGGGGTTGTTGCTAGATGGAATAAAGGGGGCAACATTTGTAAAAAACATGTTTAGAAAATGAACATTTTGAGAATCAATACCAAAATTTTTTAGTTTTATAGGCTTATCCTGTTGAAGCCTGGAATGAAACTTCTTTGACTTTTTTAGGAAACTAACAGACCCCCACGGCAATCTCTTTCACTGAGAAATGTAAATGGTTGACGGGAGGTGGAAAGAGACAGCGAGTGAACAGAATACTAATTTCTATTCTCTCTGAGAGTGCACTGTTCACAACTTTTGTGACAGAGAAATCCTTTGAGCTTTTTTCCCCCCAAATTTTTTGGGGGATGTTAAAAAGGTTTTACACAAAGTACACTTCATAATGTGTTACCAATAGAATGAATCCCCTATTTAAAGTTAATATTTAGGTAAACTAGTAACATACATCATATTTTTTATCAAGTTATTTTAAACAAAAAAAAAAGCAAGCTATTTTTCCCCTTTATTAAAAAGAACTAAATGTTTAAATACTAGCATCCGGGTACTGAAATCTGTATTTTTTATCATTTTAATATCAACTTGGTACTGAAGTACCAGAAAGTTTGACATCCCTACATATTTCTTTCACTGATTTTTTTCTGTGACAGATATTAATGTACGTACCTGTACCAGTCATTTAGTTCAATCTGGGTTGCCAGATCCTCCAAGGAGATGCTGAGATTGTTCCAAAAAGGAATGTCAGCCAACTGACGGACCAGCTCACCCCGCTGAGCCTGGAGTTTCTGTATGATGGACAGGTAGTCTGTATGCTTTGCATACTGGTCCTTTAGTAGCTGAAGATTCTCGTCCACAGTCTGGCTCTGAGCAGATGTACTTTCTGACACCTACAGAAACACACATTTGCCTTATAAGATCTTTTCTCATGAGCTAAGGATCAGTGTAACAACTGTGAGTAAGTCAGTGAGAATGTCAAGCTCTGGTGTGTTTTGGAGGGATGGAGAACCATTTAAACATAACCCAGTGTGCATCAGTGCCTCACCAGTCGGTGTATTCCTGACACGGTGCGGTTGGCATGGCGGAGGGAGTAAGTAAGTCGATTCACGCCATCACAGGTCTCTCCGTTCCCGTAGAAACCAACAGCAATGCCGGCGCTGTAAGGGCACAAAGAATTAAGGCCTTCAGTAGAACCGTGGTAACCCTGAGGAATAGGTCAGTAATTTCTCAAACCCTGCACACAGCTGGCAGAAGATAACACAACTGAACAACACATGATATGAATGACCCGTTAAATAATAGTTAAGGATCACAGATAATTGAGGAAACTGATATACAGCAGTCATTCCCGACCAGAGGCACTTAAAAGGATAGTCCACCCAAAAATTTAAAGTCTGTCATCATAGTAATAACCATCATTCAGCTACCGGTAATACAACAAATGTGTTTACATACACCACCGTTCAAAAGTTTGGCGTTTTGTGTAAGATTTCTTTTGTGAGAAATTTTGGTCGATATATATAAAAGCTGATAAATAATGGATTATTTCTTTCAGCTGAGACACTTCCGATGTGCACTGATCGCCATGATGTTATTGAAATGCTTGAAATATGATTGGAATCACTTTGAAAAGGAAAGTACAACATGTGTAGAGCAAGTCTGTCATATAGGCTTCATAACATTGTAGTGAGAACATCATTATAATTGTGTGCTTGGGACATAGAGAGATTTTTGTTTTTGTAATCAGGCTCTCAAAAACTATATCAAAATTTAGATTTATCGGCCAATTTATCGGTCATAGGCTTTCAGATATAAAGAATTATCGGTATCGGACAAACTTTTCATATCGGTGCATCCCTACTTTGCTCCAAGGGGAGGTCCCTAACATCTAAATGACTACTTGCTTATTCATTTGTAGAGTTAACAACTAACAAAATGTTGTCTGTGGCTTTATACAGAGATCCACACAGAGAAACATAGTGGTCAGATGGATATCACTCTGTGAAACTCAACACACCACTGACACCACAGACTGTTGGGCTACTACAACAGCGCTGGGAAAAGAGAGATGAAAACGTATCGATTGCGCTAACAGCTTTGACCGACAGGGAATCAGGTTACAAACACTTCCTGCCCCACAAACCCACTGAGGCCGTTCCCAGCAGCGGACTCCCAGCAGCGGACCACCTGCACCATCTGAACCAAAGATACAGATGACCATCAAAACATCTGACTTGAACTTGTTGCCTCTCCACCAGGTGGCACAACAGTACAACCTGCCAATGGGGCTTTCAATCCCACTCATTCCCATTCCCATTCCCCACCCTCTCTCGCTCAAGCATCTCACCCAACTCCATTGTAAAGCATTCAATGGCAGCTACAATCAGCAGCCACCCCGTTTACGGGGGTTCTGCGGCTAAACAAAGAGCTATTCACCGCAGGACAGGGCCGCAGCTCTCAACTACAGTACATTTAAGACGCATTCCATGTGTTTGCCAGTCTTAGTGTTTGTCTCGTGGACAGGCCAAAGACTAAGTATTAAGATTTCACAATAACGTGGATTTGAAGGTCCTATTGTCAGTGAAGCACTACGCAGGAAGGAAGTCACTTGAGTTGAATCGAGTGACAGTCTCTTAAACTAGCTCAATATTTTCTAAACAAGCAGTTGGTTGTGTTAAACTGATGCATGGTGTTTTGGTTTTATGCTCCAAGCGTTGTCGTGTTTAGCCGGGGCGTGTTGCGGCACAAATGTGCAGATCAGGAAGCAGATGTCACCACCTCGTCCCCCCCCTCCTCCCGAGGCCACGGTCATGTGACCCATTAGAGAGGGCTCAGTGGAGTTCCGAGCATTCCTACTTCACTGCAGATCTGGTTGATAATCTGCAATAGCAAAGTTAACTAGATAAACAAATACAGTCTGATCTCTCATAGCAGGTCATGAATGACTAGACAGTGATATGTGGGCCATTTATTTGCTCAAATTATAATGCTACTTGTGTGTTTACACAAAAACATTTGCTTAGTCATAACTGCTGCTCAGAGTAAAATATCCAGGAATACAAAAAGTTAGTGTGGTGGTACAATGCTGGTTTCAGATTGCACACAGAGTGGCCCCAGAAAATTATCTGCACAATTTTGGACACTGTGTTTGAATCTCATAGCACTAGAAGAAAAAAATCAAACCAATGGCATCTGAAAATAAGTGCTTGAGCTTCTCAGAAGAGACATTTTTGCAATGACTTTTAATTATGTACGAAGTCAGTTGTCCTCAAAAACATGTGTCCAGTTCACCACATCAATACGAATACTTTGACTAATATTTGACAACCAGAAACGTGTCATCTTTGACATTGTATCTGTTGTTTTACAATCAAATCACCATTTCAGTGGTGCCTTTAAGATTCTCTTGGGGTCCTCCTCCCGGTTTCGGATATTTCCTCTTAAATATTTCTTTTTTGGCATCTTGTACCATGTTTTTGTATCTTTTCTGTACGTCTGTAACGCTCCGCTCAACGGTCGGATTAACTGTCGTAGCAATCTTTTTCCAAATGAAACATTTCTTTTTGTTACTACATTCTCCGCTAAATTTCTGTTATACTCCAACAAACACATATTTTCCGCTGGGGTAAACTCGGCGCAGTAATATAATCACTCCTGAAAAATCCTCTCCCTCTCATTGATGATATGATGATATTACTGCGCCGAGTCGAAGTGCTCCCAAGTGCTACTCCACCATACATTATAGTTATCCATTTTACACGCTTAGAAAAGCGCCATGTTTTATTTTGTGTCACCATACTTGGTCGAGTTACTACACTACTCGTGTAACTGCATTTAAATAGGGAAAACGTGGAAGTGTTTGGTCACTTCTCTGTTTGGATCCTAATGAATGAACTGGGCTAAGCTAAGTGCTAACAAAGTTTCGCCACAAGACAGAGCGCACTGAGACGAGAGAGGTATGTATCAACTCGTCTTAGTTAAGGGAATAACAGTTTAATATGAAAAAACGGTGGAGTATCCCTTTAACTGTTTTGACTTCAGTGTACTGTTGGCATTTTTCTTAAAAAATAAATGCCTCTTGGTTTTATATTTTGTTATATAAATGCAAAAAAATAGGGTATACTTTGGCTACTATATATACCATGTTACAGTTTCATTATCATAATCATATACCATGGTATACCATGGCGGATCCTCAGTTGGTTTAGATCGTATCTAACAAATACAAGTTTCTCTGTCAAACTTGGTAATTTTTCTTACTCGCCAGCCCAACTCTCCTGTGGAGTGCCACAGGGGTCTATTCTCGCACCCATTCTTTTTTCCATATATTTACTTCCTCTGGGCTCCATTTTCAAAAAGCATGGTGTATCATTTCACTGCTATGCAGATGATACACAAATTTATTTGCCTCTGAAACACAACAAAGATACTGCTCTGATATCTCTTTTGGCATGCCTAGAAGTAAAATGTGGTTTTCTCAAAATTTCTTATTTTTGAATGAATCCAAAACCGAGGTTATAGTCTTTGGCTCCCATGACAACTATAATAGCAGTAACATTGATCTGGATTATCTTTATCCAACTTCATCTTGCATTAAGAATTTAGGTGTTCTCTGGGATCAGAACCTCAAATTTTAAAAACTAATACATGCGGTGATTAGTTCTTGTTTTTTCCAGCTACGTCTTCTCTCTAAGATCAACTCCTCTCTCTCTGAGAAAACCTTAGAGATTGCTGTCCATGCGCTCATTACATCGCGGTTGGATTATTGCAACTCTCTTTACTATGGCATACCCAAACACTCTATTGCTCGTCTCCAATTAGTACAGAATGCTGCTGCAAAGTTCCTCAAAAAAAAATGTAAATTTGATCATGTTTCTTAAAATCACTGCATTGGCTACCTGTGCATTTTAGAATTGAGTTTAAAATTCTTCTCTTTGTTTTTAAATCCATAAATAATCTGGCACCAAGCTATTTGTCTGAGCTACTCTGTCCACACGATCCCACACGAAACCCGAGGTCTTGTGATCAGAGACTTTTGTCTGTCCCCAGATCACGGTTAAAGAATAGAGGGGACAGAGCCTTTGCGATTGCTGGCCCTAGGCTGTGGAATAGCCTTCCGGTTTACATCAGAGCGGCCCAATATCTAACTGTTTTTAAATCCTCTCTTAAAACCCATTTTTTTTCTTTAGCTTTTAATTCATTGTGATATTTTGTCATGAATGTGTGGTTTGTCCTTGTTATTTATCTTGTATATTGTTCAGCACTTTGGTCAGCCCTGTTTGCTGTTTTTAAATGTGCTATATAAATAAATACAAACTTGAAACTTGATGGTATTTAAATGATAACGTAAGGTACTTCAAAGAACACTATGGTATTACCATTGTAGAAGAGTCAATAAAAACTTGAAAAAGCAGAAGAGGGAAGCAGTGAGGTTTATAGGATCAGATGCATTCAACCATACAAGAGACATCTCCGATAATAGTTATGCTGAGAGACGGGAAGTGATTGTGGGCTCTAAGGCAAGATGTGACCCGAGGACAGATCAATCAATGGTCCCGCAGCTGTGGCCTATGGTTGGCCGACATCACTGCTATCCTGTAATTAAAGTTCAGTCTGTTAGACAGTCTCTATTCTGAGCCTAAGCTCTCACGGGGGCAATACAGACATACTGCAAACAAATAAATAACAAAAATAAGCCACATGACTCATCGAAATCAAACCCAGGGCTCGCTGATGCTAAGCAGTAGACTTTATGTGTGTAACATATAGAATAAGTAATGACCTGTGAATGTTGATCGATGTGAATGGGGTTAAACACTCCTTAGAGAATAACACTCCATTGACTGGGCAAATCACACTGAGCGATCTCATTACTTATGCTCGTTCCGGTGCACCCATCCCCCTAAAGCACAGCGTCCTGAATCAGTGGGGATTTGGCTAAGTGGAGTGTCACACGGTTAAGACGAGACAGGTTTGGTCACAATGTGCCTAAAGAGTGAGGCTACGTCCACATTAATCCGGACACATTTGAAAACGGCGTTTTCGTTTAAAAATGCTCTCCGTCCACACTAGCGTTTTCAGGCGTTTTCCGACGTTTCAGTGTGGATGAGAAACTTCTAAATTCACCTTACTGCGCATGCGTGAAACCTCACAAAAG